ACTTGAGCCCATGAGTTCCAGACCTTTTTAGGCTATATAGCACAAAACTATCTCAACAAACAAATAAATAGAGTATTCTTCATCTAGGATATCATAACCCCAATTGAAAAGGCCCAGCCGACCCTCCTTCCAGGAGATAAAATTTCAATTGGGGCCTCTACATAGAAGCCAGTTGATTAAGAAAAAGATTCACAACCCTCTAGGCACTTGGAGAACAACCTAGGAATTTGTATATGGCCCATATATTAACTAATTATGTTAGATCCAGTTTTACCGGGTATGGTTCAGGTACAGTGGATATGTAAGAGAATGTCACTGTTCTTAGGAAATACTGCTAAATAGTTAGGTGTGTTGAGTGTCATAATGTCAACAATTATTTTCTAATGGCTCTGTATATATCCTTAAACAGTAAGTGTCTAAATTTACTGCTGACATTTTGTTACATTGCTCTCTCTCTCTCTCTCTCTCTCTCTCTCTCTCTCTCTCTCTCTACACACACACACACACACACACACAGTCTGTCTATATATGTGTATATATACATATATATGTCTGTCTCCCCCCCCATATATAGTCTCTAAGAGGTTCCTCCTTCCTTATATAAGAAAGAGCAAGAGGATACAGGTAGCCAATGTTAGAATGGCAATTGGATGCTCACTGTACTACCTGCTCTCCTAGTTTGACAGCTTTCTAAACAAAACCGTGTTGGGCAAGCTAGTATGGAAGAGCGTATTGTTTTCTAGTCTCCTTCCCTGGCACCCTGAGGACACAGCCTCCACTCTGAACAGGGGTGAGCTTCATGGCTGCCCTCTTAAAGCTCACAGCACCCGGGAGGTTATGCAGGGCCCATGGGCAGCCCATGGGAGCATCCAGGTCTCCCACACAATCAACCCCCTCCAAAGGTTTGGGAAGGAAAACCAGGTGACTTCACAGAACCACCCAAGGAGATTTGGGGAGACAGCTGCCGAGCTATGGTCCTGGCCTCCTCCACTGTGTCTCATCAGCTGTCTGTCCTTTGTTCAACACAGGCTAGAAGAGAACAGTTGGCGTCTTGGCACTACCAGGATCCCTGTTATTCCTTTCCAGTCAACTTAATTATCTGCACCAATGAGCTGGGGAAACAGACACAGGGAATTGACTCTAGCAATAATTTATTGAAGACCCAATCTGTGCTATGCTTGAAGTCTACTCCTTCAAGTTGGATAACACCAAAATAAAATGAGCAAAAGATACAGTCAGACTTTTGTCGCTTTATGCTCTCTTTTATCCCGTGTTAGGCAGCCCACGTCTCAGGTTTTCAAGCTACGGTGAGGGAGGGGGTAAAACCCTGCTTTGCCCAGTAGGTTTTACTGGGTGAAGTGCCTTCAGATCACTGCATAGGATGCCAGTAGATGAGTTGCTGCTTTTCTGGACACAAGAGGACATGAACTGTAGCTTGTTTCAAGGGTGCTGAGTAGAAGAAAGGAGGGAGGAGGAAGAGTCTGGCATTGACTGAACATACATCTTTAGCATCCCAGGGACTGGGTCAGGTCTTTCATGGACCCAATTCATGCAATCACTAGCTATTTTCCACACACTTGCCATTTGCTGGATATTCGTATACGCTAAACTTTACACACCAAGTCAAGATATGAACTATGATTTCCAGGCTGGCTCAAAATCTTCCTAGAAGATCGTATGTCTTCTCTGAACATCACTGCTAATACGTCAAATGATGATCTAAAGGGCTGGTGGGACCGAGGAGGAAGGGAGGAGGACATGGGTACAGGAGCTATTTTCAAATAGTGAAAAGGTAGCATTTTGCAGGTAACCACATTTATCCTGTGTGGCTTAATTTGAATAGCCCACACCTAATTTGGGGATGCATTTTGGGGATACTAACATTCTGGTGTTTTCCACTATGGGGTGAAGGTTAAAACTATAACTGATTATAGGAACTCTGAAAGCAGAACTGTCAAATAGGAAATAACTTGATGGCAGCAGTGTTGTTATATGTCCCCCTAGTAACGGAGATGTCCCTGGATGAGCACCAGAAGGGAGACTTTATGGGGGGGGGAGTGAGGCTACAAAATTAAAGCTCTTTTCAGTGTTGAAAGTTTTCATTCTATGGAAGTTGCCATTTACTCTGTTTGTAAATAGATTTTAAAACTAGTAAAGGGAATATAAAGTGGGTCAGTACTGTTGACCAGATGGGAGGTGACTTCGTCACTGGAAGCTGTGACAGTCAACAGTTCCAGCCAGCAAATCAGCTCAGCCAGTTGTAGAGCTGACCCTCACACAGCATGGGAATTACCAGGAAGATTTTTTTTTTTAAATGACAGGTACTGAAGCCATATTCCAAACTAAGTGAAGGTAAGTCTCTGGGGGTGGGTCCAGAAATCAGTAATGTTTAAAAGGTCCAGTTAGAGAGGAAAGAAATGCAAGATGCAGAAGCACAGGCAGAGAAGGGAAGGTCACACTGGGCTTTGGAATGGCCACACACCATTAGCGTGTGTCTCATCCAAGGCAGCCTTGTCATGACACGAGGCACAGTTTGGGAGACAAGAAGAGAGAATACCTTAACCCTGTAATACTTAAAGCACTTGCTTTCCTGGTCATTAAATAGTGTTCACAAACAAAGGAGTCAAGATCATGATGGGGAAACCCACAGAATCAGCTGACTAGAGCTAGTGAGTGATCACTGACTCCCGTCTGCCAACTGCAGAACCTGCATAAGACTGAACTGGACTCCCTGAATACAGGTGACAATAATGAGGCTGGAGTAATATATGAGGCCACTGGCAGTGGGTCCAAGATCTAACACTAATGCACAAACAGACTTTGTGGGGCATTCTATATGGAGAGACACCTTGCTCAGCCTATATATGGGGGGGGGTTGGTGGTGGGGGACCTTGGTCCTACTTCAATAAGATGATAGAACAGACTTAGTAGACTTCCTAGGAGAGGCCTTACCCTCTCTGAGGAGCAGATGGGAGGTGGGAGAGAGTGGGGACAGGAGGAGGGAAGGGGAACTGGGATTGGAAAGTAAAAAATAAAATAAATGACCACAAGCTGTGGTGGTGCACACCCTTAACCCCAGCACTCAGGAAGCAGGCAAACCTCTGTGAGTTTGAGGCCAGCCTGGTCTATAGAGCAAGTTCTAGAACAGCCAAGGCTACAAAGAGAAACCCTGTGTTGAAAAATCAAAAGTAAACAAAACAAAAGAGTGTCACAATTTGGTTACCAGAAGATGGGGAGAAGGGCAAAGGACGGCTTATTCATTATTTAGTTTTATTTATTTATTTACTTGTGGAGTTTTGAGACAAAGGCTTGCTAAACTCCATGTCCTCTTGCATCAGCCTTCTAAGTACTGGGGTTAAAGCCTGTGCAGCCATTTGAAGCTAGCTGGGAGTTAATCTTTAATAGGTAGCTTTTAGTTTAGGAGGATTAGGAAGCTTTAGATGTAGCTAGTGGTGATTACAAGACAATGTGAAGCATCTAAGTCCACAGAACTGTATGTTGATGAGTAGTTAAAAGGTTAGGTATGGGGGCACACGTGTAATCTCCAGTGCTTGGGAGGTTGAAGCAGGGAGGATTTAGATCTTGATGCCAGTTTGTATTATGCAACAATATGCTGTCTTTCAAAAAGTTGTTAAGCCAGGCTGGTGGTACCACATGTAGTCCCAGCACTCAGGATGCAGAGGCAGGCAGATCTCTGTGAGTTTGAGGCCAGCCTGCTCAACACAGAGAGTTCCAGGATAGTCAGGGTTATATAGACAGACTCTGCCTCAAAAGAAAAAAGAAGTTGTTAAACAGGTAAATTTTGTGTTATATATCTTTTCCCATACTAAAAAAGTTTTTTTCCTTAATGTTTCAAGCACAATGATAGAGGAAAATATAAATGGTTACTCATTTCGTCCAACTTGAGGTACAGCCCTTCACCATTGGTTTGGTGACAGAAAATTACAGATTACTGAAAAAGAAAAAGAAAACTTGCAGATTGATTTACCCCAGGAATGCAAGGGTGGTTCAATGAAGAAGAGTAGTGAAGCATACCTCATTAACAAAATGAAGGAAGGAAACAAGCCATTGGTTCTTCCAAATGATGCAGAAAAGAACACTGGATATATCCAACATACTTTCACACTTAAAAATAATTAAGAATTGTAACTAGAAGTGAATTCTTACCAGATGACAATGGGCAAATATGGTAAACCCACAGCTCACATCATAGTTGATGGTAAAAGACACAAAGCCTTTCCCCTAAGATGAAGAACAAGAGAGCGGTACCTGCTCTCACTACAGCTACTCAACAATGTACTGAAAGTTATAGCCCAAGCAATTGGGCTAGGAAGAAAAGAACCTACCTAAATCAGAATGGAAGATGTAAAACTATCTCTAGTCACAGAATATGTGGTCCAATATACAGAAAATTCCAAATTCATACACAAAAACAATCCTAGGCAAATTCAGTAGTGAATAAGATCAGCATACAAACAAGGAACAATCCAAAGAGGGAATTAAGAAGCAAATCCATTTAGGGAAGCTTTCAGAGCATCAGAGGACCGGACATCAGAATAGTCTTGTAGTCCTTTGACATGGAAACATCTTGTTATTAACAGTCCTCGCTGAGGTACATGCATCGGTGCCTCTAATTTTTCATGCATATTAGTGCATCTCATATTAAAATTAAGTAGAGCAAATAGATTTGATGAGGGTGGTAGAAGGGACTTCACAGGACATGCATTAGAAGCTGAATCACATCTATGAGCTATTCAGAGTGGTCTGGGTCGCAGTCATCCTGCCTCCCTTCATGTCTCAGGAGTCACAGGAAGCTGGGAAGCAAACTCCCAGACCCCTTGAAGTAGACTAAGCCTGAGTCAGCTTCCCTAGGACATCAGGCCCAGGGAACTGTTCACTGAGGAGAGTGTTTCCACTTAGAAAGTTGGTAATGTTTTTTGGTGTTTTATCTTAATCAAAAAGGGAACTAAAAAAAAAAAAAAGAAAGAAAGAACAAAAGAAAAGGGAACTAAAAATGTTTTTAATTACGTGTGTGTGTGTGTGTGTGTGTGTGTGTGTGTGTGTGTGTGTAAGAGACGAGGGACCAGTAAGATGAAGTGTTTGCCAAGTATTGCCACACTTCTTAGATCTTAGTGTCCCACAGAATAAGAGCTGGTGGTTGGTTTCATCCCAGAGACAGCCCTTCTTCCTCCCAGCTGTGTTTCTGCTCCTCTCTCCTGCTGTGCTGACATCTGTGGATGGAACACTGCAGATAGAGACCTGCATGCAAGAAGGCAACTTTACCAAAAAGAAGGAGCTCTGGAAAGAGCTAAGGACTTGTGCTCTAAGACTGGCTCAGCAGCACCACAGCTGTGTGGCCCGAAGCCCAGGCCTTCCTTCAGGAGGCCTGAATTCTGGTCTGAAGAGAGGCAATCAGGGGTTGGGCTGAGAGACACGGAGATTCTTTTATTTTTTTTTAATTCTAACTTAATTTTTTTTTTTGACACAGGGTTTCTCTGTGGCTTTGGAGGTTGTCCTGGGACTAGCTCTTGTAGACCAGGCTGGTCTCGAATTCGCAGAGATCTGCCTGCCTCTGCCTCCCGAGTGCTGGAATTTAAGGCATGCACCCCCACTGCCCGGCCCTTTTAACTTTAAACATCAGCCTATTATAAGCCCTGTAAAGAATTCAAACATGCTTTAAAAGAAGGGGAGGTGACATCAGTTAACAAGGGGAGGATGAAAGGTGAGCAAATCTGAAAAGATGGCTCTGGACACTGATACTGCCTGAAACCTTCCTACTGGGCCAAAGCTGAGCTGAAGGCTGGGGTGGAGCTGAGTTGGGTGCATTTTGCTTAGCATGCTTGAAGCCTGCGAGTGGGAGATTGTTCATATGAAGTTGGGGTAGGAGGCAGATTAGGCAAGGGAAGAACAAATGTCATTCCTGGTTTTGATTTTCTCAGGCCAAGACTCATCACGGACATCAGATTCCAAAACCCAGACAATTATGCGGAATGTTATTTTTGGGGGGGGGGGGCAAATCAAACAACTCCTAAAGAACAGATAGCCTGCCATTTGAGTGAAATGGAGGGCAGGTTCTGGGTGGCATTAAGATTTTCCCTCAATTTTATTAAGCTGGCAAATATTTATAAAGTGCCTACTATGTGCTGGGTGTGATAAGTGGTCAGAATAAGTGACAGGGAAGGAAGGCCTGTGTGAAGATTTTCATGTATGTAAAATCCAAAGCAAAATCCAAGACCTGCCCCAGGGGAGTTAAGACAAATGGGCTGGAGGAGCTCAGATTAGCAATGCCCCCTCACCTCACCTGGCAACCTCAAGTAAAGGTCCCTGGAGTCTGACACACAATCTCAAAAACGTTGTCTATTCCTCCAGCAGCCTCTCTCTTCCAGGATCAATTCTGTAAGCATGAGTACCAGAGCAAGGGAGGTGAAGAACTATTTGCTCTCCCATTCAAAGTCCACAGCTCATCCAGACAGAGAAACTACAGGTTGACTAAGAACTTCACGTAGAAACCATGCCTATGTAAAGCTCATCTCAGATAAGATCCATATTCTTGCTTTTTCCTTCACAGGTTAAAAAGATGCACCAACCAAAATTCAAAGCAGTATGAAAACAATTCATCAGTCAGATGGAGGAACAAGTATCTTTGGCCTGAAGTGAGCCAAGATCTCTGGAGTGACCTTGTTGAAGGTCTGTGTTGAAGCCCTCCTTCCTCTTCAGTGAGTTACAGGGGTGCCCTAAGTCCAGGGAATCAGAGATAGCTCACAGTGTAAAAGTCTGTATAAGTCGATAGATAGCCTTCGCTGGGTGAACTGGTCACACACAGGCTTCTCAGCATTGAATTTGAACCAGCCAATGGTATCCCAATGACTGAAACAGGAAGCCAGATAAACAGCGTGTTATCAAGGGGGGGATCCAGCACTTCCCTTAAGCCGGCGCCAGCTGCGCTCTCGGATGGTCCTAACAAAGTCCCATTGACTCACCAGCTGATTTTCCTGTGTTCAGCTCTTGGGGACAAGGAACCCTCTTTGCTGGGTGGACATTACTCTAGTGCACTGCCCGAGCTACTCACCACTGAGGTCCGCCCCAGTTCCTTCCTCCCCTTTAAATGCCATCTGCAGACTTGGCAGGCTCTCTATCCTATGGCCAGTTTTGGTAGACTCTGAAGATTAAAAGGGACCGCAAAAATCCAGGCACGGCACACTCAGGTGAGCGTCTCCCTCACATTTTCCCAGCTTCTCTTTTCTCCTTCCTCCTCTCTCCCCCGGGATGCTCTCGAGGCTCCCAGACGTCCTGGGTAGGCGCCAGAAGAAACAGCCTTGAAAACGGCGCTTCTCAGCGTATCTTCGAGTTAGGGGGATGGTAGAGGTGGCGGGGCAGTGCAATTTTCTGTAACAGCCCAGCAGGGTCACCTGCCCCAGCTGTTCCTTTAGCTCCTCCTGTCCTCCTGGGATGTTCGAAGAGTTAACTAGCTGCTTCGGGAGGAGGCGGGGTGTCGTCTGACTATGTGTGTAAGTCTCTCTCTCTCTCTCTCTCTCTCTCTCTCTCTCTCTCT